GCTTAGACTTTCGTTTGGTTACAGTTAGTGTTTGATTTAGGTTTAAGATTAGGGTCAGGGGTGAGGATTAGAGTTTGGATTGGGATACGGTTTCGGTTAGTGTTATGGTTAGGGCCAGGAGTTAGGGTTAAGTTTAGTCGTTATGGCTAGGGTTTGGGTTTGGGTTCTGGTTACAGTAACCCTAACCATAACCCTAACCCTAGCGCCTAACCCTAAACCCTAACCCTGAATATAACCCTAACCCAAACCATAACCCAAACCCCAATGCTGACCCTAACTCTCACCCCAACCCTAACCCTCAATCTAACCCTAACCCTAATCCTACTGTAACCCTGACCCTATTGCCCAACCCTAACCCTTAGCCCTAACCCAACCATGACCCTTCACCCAAACTTAAGCCTAGCCTGGACCCTAACCCTAATCCCAACCCTCACCCCTACCCCTTGCCCTAAACCTAAATTTAACCCTAACACTCACCCTCCTGTAACTAGAACCTGAACCCTAAACCTAGCCCTAATCACTAAATGTAACCCTAACTGCTGACCCTAACCATAACACTAATTGAAACCGTAGCCCAATACCATAACACTAACTGAAATCATAGCCCAAACCGAACTCTAACGCTAATCCTCACCCCTGACCTTAATCCTAAACCTAAATCTAACCCTAACCGGAACCCTAACACCTAAACCTAGCCATAATGCTAACCGAAATCATCAACCTAATCTGAAAACTAACCCTAATCCTCACCCCTAATCCTAACCATGACCCTAAATCTAACCCTAATATTCACCCTACAGTAACCCTAACCGTAACCCCAACCCTAAACCTAACCCCTAACCCTGACAATAATCCTAACTCAAACCATAACCCAAACCCCAACCCTGACCCTAACACTCACCCTTAACCCAACCCTCAATCTAACCCTAACCCTGACCCCTAAACCTAACCTTGACCCTTCACCCAAACTTAAGCCTAGCCCAGACTCTAACCTTAACCCTCACCCTCACCCCTCACCCTAAACCTAAATTTAACCCTAAAACTCACCCTCTTGTAACCAGAACCCGAACCCTAACCCTAGCCATAACCACTAAACCTAACTCTAATCTTGACCCTAACCGTAACATTAACCGAAACCGAGCTCATTTGTGGTTAAGTAATGTCTTCCTTGGGACCAGCAGTTAGCATAATGGCTATATCGCTGAACTCCGGACCCGGTGGCTTGAACTCAAACGCCGGCGGGCGCGTGTGCGTGTGTGCCCAGGATCCCAAGAGGAGAAGGGATTGCGGTGTGGCCATCCCTCCTGGGGAGTGATTTAATGCTTTCTGTCCCTATCTTTGTCCTTCTGGTGAGCGCATGCGCCCTTATAACAAAAACCTCTCAAAAAAAGAAAGAAAAAAAATAAAAGAAAAGAAAAAGAAATGTCTTCCTTGTAGCCTTGGAGGAATAAAAAGTGAGAGCAGGGTAGCTTGTGCCAATGATTCCCACAAGAAGAGTGGCAGGGGGTGGAAAGAAGGTCGCTGAGTTAAGCTCCAGTACCCAAAGGGCACTGTGGGAAGGAAGAATTTCCAGCTGGCAAGTCTCTTAACCTCTTCGGGTCTCAGTGTCTAAAACGTCAGTTACCGATGGGGCCCTTCCTCCCGCAAGCATTAAGACAATCTATCCAGGCCTTTCGAGACGGGCAATGAGACCTCTGCAGAACCCTGCAAAGAGGAAGGGGGAAACGCAGTGCAGCCAGATGTGGAGGGGAGGACGAAGCCCAGACCCATCCTCCGGGCCAGATCACTCTCTCTAGTTCATTTCTTTTTCCTTCCTAGGGAAACTGAAGCCACAAAGAGGAGATGGAGGGGAGGGTCCTTCCCGATGCCCACTAGGCCCAGGCCCCTCTACCAGGTCTAGGGGCCCGCAGCCATGGTTGATTCAGTCACACGGAAGCCTCCAGCAGAGACCCTGGCTGGATCTATGCTCTAGAGCACTGAAGGAGGCTTAAAGGGATTCGAGAAAGCCCAAGTTTCAACTCCAGTTCTGGAATGAACTGCTCTGTGATCTTGGACAAGTTAGTTCAAGGTGCTCGGCAAATCTCCGCAAAGGGATCTGCGGATCAGCAGACAGTTCCCTTCCACACCTGCCCAGGCCACCGCGTGGAATCGTCTCCCCACTCCTTCCTCGTAGATCCTGACCCTGGGCAGACGAGGAGGCGGGGACCGGGCGGCGGGAGGCTGGCTCAGGCCCAGGGCGCCCCCGCGCGCTCCCTCAGCCGGGCTCCAGCCTCGCGCCGGCCGCGCGGCCCCCCTAAACGTAAATCTAACCCTAACCATAACCCTACCGTAAACCTAAGCTTAACCCTAACGCCAAAACCATACCCTAACAAATAACCCTAGTTGTAACACTAACCAAAACTGTCAATTTAACCTGAAAACTAACCCTAACCCTTACCCCTAACCCTAGCTCTTACCTTAAATCTAAACATAACACTCATCCTACTGTAACCCTAACAGTAACCTTAACCCTAGCCTCTAATCCTAAATCTAACCCCTAACCCTAACCCTACCATAATCCTAACCCTAACCCTATTGCCCAACCCTAACCCTGACCCCTAAACCTAACCATGACTCTTCACCCAAACTTAAGCCTAGCCTGGACCCTAACCCTAACCCTCACTTCTACCCCTTGCCCTAAACCTAAATTTAATCCTAACACTAACCATCCTGTAACCAGAACCCAAATCCTAACCCTAGCCCTACCAACTAAAACTAACCCTAACAGTAACACTAACCAAGACTGTAGCCAAACTCAAACCCTAAACCCAATCCTCACCCTGACAATAATCCTAAACCTAAATCTAACCCTAACTGTAACCCTACCGTAAGCCTAAGCCTAACCCTAACCTTAATGCTAAACAAAACCTTCAACCTAACCCGAAAACTAACCCTAACCCTCACCCTAACCCTAGCCCTGACCCTAAATCTAACCATAACACTCACTCTACCATAACCATAACCCTAACCCATAACCCTGACCATAACCCTAATCCTAACCAAACCCCAGCCCTGATCCTAACACTCACCCCTAACCCTAACCCTCAATCTAACCCTAACCCTATCGTAACCCTAACCCTAACACTGACCAATCGCCCAACCCTAACCCTGACCCCTAAACCTTACCGTGACCTTTCACCCAAATTTAAGCCTAGCCCGAACCCTAACTCTAACTCCCACCCCTACCCTTGGCCCTAAACCTAAATTTAACCCTAACACTCACCCTCCTGTAACCAGAACCTGAACCCTAACCCTAATCACTAAACCTAACCCTAACTCCTGACCCTTACCATAACACTAACTGAAATCATAGCCCAAACCGAACTCTAACGCTAATCCTCACCCCTGACCTTAATCCTAAACCTAAATCTAACCCTAACCGGAACCCTAACACCTAACCCTAGCCATAATGCTAACCGAAATCATCAACCTAATCTGAAAACTAACCCTAATCCTCACCCCTAATCCTAACCATGACCCTAAATCTAACCCTAATATTCACCCTACAGTAACCCTAACCGTAACCCCAACCCTAAACCTAACCCCTAACCCTGACAATAATCCTAACCCAAACCATAACCCAAACCCCAACCCTGACCCTAACACTCACCCTTAACCCAACCCTCAATCTAACCCTAACCCTGACCCCTAAACCTAACCTTGACCCTTCACCCAAACTTAAGCCTAGCCCAGACTCTAACCTTAACCCTCACCCTCACCCCTCACCCTAAACCTAAATTTAACCCTAAAACTCACCCTCTTGTAACCAGAACCCGAACCCTAACCCTAGCCATAACCACTAAACCTAACTCTAATCTTGACCCTAACCGTAACATTAACCGAAACCGAGCTCATTTGTGGTTAAGTAATGTCTTCCTTGGGACCAGCAGTTAGCATAATGGCTATATCGCTGAACTCCGGACCCGGTGGCTTGAACTCAAACGCCGGCGGGCGCGTGTGCGTGTGTGCCCAGGATCCCAAGAGGAGAAGGGATTGCGGTGTGGCCATCCCTCCTGGGGAGTGATTTAATGCTTTCTGTCCCTATCTTTGTCCTTCTGGTGAGCGCATGCGCCCTTATAACAAAAACCTCTCAAAAAAAGAAAGAAAAAAAATAAAATAAAAGAAAAAGAAATGTCTTCCTTGTAGCCTTGGAGGAATAAAAAGTGAGAGCAGGGTAGCTTGTGCCAATGATTCCCACAAGAAGAGTGGCAGGGGGTGGAAAGAAGGTCGCTGAGTTAAGCTCCAGTACCCAAAGGGCACTGTGGGAAGGAAGAATTTCCAGCTGGCAAGTCTCTTAACCTCTTCGGGTCTCAGTGTCTAAAACGTCAGTTACCGATGGGGCCCTTCCTCCCGCAAGCATTAAGACAATCTATCCAGGCCTTTCGAGACGGGCAATGAGACCTCTGCAGAACCCTGCAAAGAGGAAGGGGGAAACGCAGTGCAGCCAGATGTGGAGGGGAGGACGAAGCCCAGACCCATCCTCCGGGCCAGATC